TGGACATCGGCACCGGCGACCCCCGTGACCCAAAATGGAAGAAGCGGGTAAAAGATAATGGATGGATGGATTCCCAACCAAATATTGAAAACTGACATCGTTTTGAAAGTACAGTCTTTTGATTGATTTGTTGTGATCCTAATTTCTTTCTCTTTTTTTTTTTGCACAAACTGAGTGTGGGCTGATTTCTTCACAGTATTCACAGAGCTCCTGTCTCACCTGTCTTTAATTCTAATCACCCTAGTTGTTCGTCATTTTGTCTTGTCAGTCTTCCTTTAAATTTAACGTCTCTGTGTTTCCTCCTTTGTCTGTGCATTGTGCTTCCCCGCCTGTCATGTTCTGTTCCTCCATTGTCTCCGTCATTTATGTAAGTTTTGCTGCCCCGTCAGCTTTTTGTTTTGTTTTTGTATAAAAAATATAAACTCTTTATTTTACCTTGGAGTCTCCTGTGTCTGTCTGCACGTAGGTTCTACACAACCACCAGATCATGTCATTGCTCAGGGTCAGCACCGTTACATTTAACGGTGTTGTTTTCATTAAACACCATCTGATCATGATCATTTGACACAAACGGACCTGACGTTTGATTTCATATTTCGGGGCCGTTTACACGTCGCATATTTTGAGTGCATCCGCAGCTTTCTCTCTGCGGTTCTGCTGATCATTTACACGACACCAGTGGCCCCCCTCTTTGAATCCGGAGGTTTCTGACCCCACCTTCCAGAGTGGAGGTTTTGCACTGACCCCCTGCTGATAATGTAAACATCTCCTGCTGAGGCTTTGTGTTAAACCACATGCACACACGCACGTGCAGACAGACGCTATATTTCTATCAACATGGTGGCGGACACACTGCTTTCAGAACCTCGACTGATGGAATATATTTTAATCTCGTAGTTAATCTACGTCAGATTCCAGGTGTTGTGACCAACATCTGTGTTGGAAGAGACACAATCTGATCCAGTTCTAATATCACTGTTTATAGAACGTGGCATGCGCACACGTCGCGCTGCACTATAACATACTAAATGTGCTAAATAATAACAGTTTAATAATAATAAACAGTATTTATGTTAGTGTGTGAGATATAATGAAGCTCTGAGCTAAATGAAGCTTATGTAATTCAAATTTAAAATGATGCTAAACATATAGCGTGAACACTAAAGTTGAAAATAAAGACATAAGGTTTAATTTTTATTTATTTACTCAACACCACAAACTGTATGTCACACAAACACTGATAATTAAACTGAACACACTATTAAAACAAGTTAACTGTAAACTACGTTAATGAACAACTGGACTCTTGTTTTCATCCGGTATGGAAGTCCCACGTTGTTCATCTGGCTCGTTCAGGCTGTCACTACTTTGATTAATGCAGCTTAAAACATTGAATGGATTGAATAAAACAACTGAGGAGAATTTTAAATAAATAGTTCATCCAACAGCTCTCTCTTCGACGTCCTCCTGCACTGCACCTGGGCCGAGTCTCGTTCAGAACTGGTCCGCCTGGTGAGAGGACAGCTCCTTCTTCTTTCAGGAAAAAATAAAAACTCAGTTGCTTGTTTTGTAATCGAAGTAAACACAAACTATTATGATTTATTATTAAGAATGTTGATTTTACCTGCTGTAAAACAGCTACTGATTATCACGGCATAAAGTCCGACATCATCGACTCGGTTCTGGTCCACTCAGTGACCGGCGTGGAGCTGTTAGACGAAGCGGTCCCGCTTGGCGTCAAATCTGTCGTCTCTTATCCACGATCCAGCCAAAATCCAGCTTTTACTTGTTTTTAAATTGTTGTTAGATGAGCTTTATAGCTCACAGGAAAGATGCGCATGCACATTAGGTGAAGGTACAAAATTCACAGCGCCATCTAATGACCTGTTATGGTAACTAGAGAGGATTTGGGAGGGCGGGGGGGCGGGGGGGGGGGGATCCTCAGGATGCATGTAAACACAAAATCCGTCCGTCCTCTAATTATCATACAAAAAAAACTACGTTTCCCCCCATCGTGTCCGTGTAAATGGGGCCTTATCCTTGAATCTGGGGTACTACCACAATTGCAAGACTTCGTTCAGAAAGAAGTCTGGCTTTCACGCACCAAAGGTCATTGAATGTTTCTACCTCTGTGCTCAATTATGCCCCATGTGCACTGCTCCTAATCAGCCCCAACTCTGGGCAGTCCGCCACAGAAAGAACCCTTTTGCACCAGTACTTTAGCTGGTATTTTTAGCTGATTCAGGACCTCTTTTCATCCCTGCTTCTCTGCTGGGACCGTTGGAGCTGAGTCAAACTGAGTCGGGACTGAAACGTAAATGCAGGTCACTGATTGATCAGGGGAGGAGTCACTGGATCTCAGAAACTTTTCACCCATCCACCATTTGCAATTTCTCGGGACGCGGAGCAGCAGCTGGATTTATTTTTAAGATTTTAAAAACAATAATGACAATGCTGTTTAATTCTGAAATCCAGGCGTTTTTTGTGTTTGGTGACCGATGACAAAATTCGAGTGAGCTGAGTCACTGTGGAGGATCATACGAGCTGCAGACCCGTTGAAGCAGGCGAGGCCGGACCCCGAGCCCCGGCCTCGCCTGCTCACAAAGGCCGGATTCTGAGCCCTGGCAGCCGGGAGGACCAGGTGGAAACTTAAAAAAAAAAAAACATTTTATGTATAAAAAATAATGTTTTTTTAATCAGTGAAGACTAAAAATAAATAAATGATGCCGGCTTTATCAGGAAATCCTGTTTTCACTTTGACTTTATTAAATAATCTGTTAATTAAAGTTAACTCAACTGAAAAATCATAAAAAACTAAATTATTGGATCTCTCAGGAATATTTCCCTCAAACAAATCCTGATGCATGCTCAATAATCCAGGTAGAAAATCTAAAAAAGTTAAATCTGGTCCTCTGGACATTCAAAAAAAAAAACTAAACAAATATTGTAGAAACGTTTCGTCTCTCATCTGAGAGACTTCTTCAGTCTGAGGTGCCGTTTTCAGCTCAGTCTCTTAAATAGCTCCTTCTCAGAGTGGATCAACCAGTTTTGCTGCTGACAACCAAAACCAGCTGATCACATGCTCAAGAAGGACCATCAGCCTAACAATGGATCATTAGCACACTGATGGCTGTTTACTATTCACAGAGGGCTGAGTGATACTAGCAATAACAGCATTGTAAGAGGGGGACAGTTGAACACGGAGGCCTCCACCCCTGTTTAATGATGGATGATTTCTTTTCACAAAGATGGCCTCCTTTACTCCTCTCTCAAACCATCGTTCCTCTCTATCCAGGATGTGAACATCTTCATCCCTGAAAGAGTGACCGCTGGCCTGGAGATGAGTGTAGACCGCAGAGTCCTGGCCTGATGATGTTGATCTTCTGTGCTGGGCCATCCTTTTGGCCAGTGGCTGTTTAGTTTCCCTGATGTAAGACTGATCACAGCCCTCCTGACACTGAACAGCATACACAACATTACTCTGTTTGTGCCGGGGGACTGGATCTTTGGGATGAACCAGTCTTTGCCGTAATGTATTTTGGGGTTTAAAAGTCACTGGGACGTTATGTTTAGAAAGTAAACGTCTCAGTTTCTCTGATACTCCCTCAACATACGGAATGACCACTGGTCTGGGTCTGGGTTCCTCCTTTTCACCTGTTGGCTGACTGGAGTCCTGTTTGGGTTTCTTCTCTGCTTTCAGGAAGGCCCAGTTAGGATATCCACATTGCTCTAGAGCCTGTCTTGTGTGGGATTTCTCCTTCTGCCTGGCTCCTGAGCTAGTGGGGACGCTGTCTGCTCTGTGGTACAGATTCCTGATGACTCCTAACTTGTGCTCCAAAGGGTGATGGGAGTCAAACTGCAAATACTGGTCTGTGTGGGTTTGTGGTACACCTCAGTTCGCAAATGTCCTCTATCAGAGACTGAGACCTCACAGTCCAAGAAAGCCAACTTGCCATTTTTTACATCTTCTCGTGTGAACTTGATGTATTTATCCACAGAGTTGATGTGGTCAGTAAAATGTTGGACTTCCTGAGATTTGATTTTAACCCAGGTGTCGTCAACATACCTGAACCAATGACTTGGTGGTGTCCCTGAAAAGGACGTCAAGGCTCTCTTTTCTACCTCCTCCATGTACAGGTTGGCAACAATAGGAGAAACTGGAGACCCCATAGCACACCCATGTTTCTGCCTATAATATTGCTCCCCATATGTGAAGTAGGTTGACTGCAGGCACAGTTTCAAGAGTTGACACAGTTGTTCTGTAGAAAGTGTGGTCCTGCTGCTCAGAGTGGTGTCTGATTTTAAAATCAGAGTGAAGACCGAGTGACGACCCTGCTGGGTCAGGACAGTACCTGCACACTGATTAGATTTCACCTGCAGCCTCTCACCAAGTCAGGACCACATCTTTCACCCAGGTGCACCGTACATCAGACAGCATGACCCGCCCTGCTGTGATTGGGTCACACTGTGGCTCTGGTTGTCTGTATTTGTTGAGTGCAGCCTCAGTTTAATCTCTGTATCATCATTAGATCACATGGTTTTAACAAGACCACATTTTTACAGATGACAGAAATTTACAGAGAACTTCATTTCCTGTACCGATTTAACTTTTGGAGACACTTCAAGATGGCTGCCACAGCCAACTGACCTTAGTCAACACAAAATGACTAAAACTCTGTTAATTTACAGAATGCGGGTTGAATTTGGCATGGTAATAGATGAGCGTCGTCCTCAACTCATTCTCTGAGCACCAACACATCCAACACCTCACAATGTTACGTCATAAGAAGTGGTGCCGAATGCATCGGCGGGTGATATGCACTCCTGCATGAGTCACATTCTGCTGATAACAATGTTCGGACCCTGAGCCAAAGGTTATCTGCAGATAGCCATTTTCAGTTTCTCTGAAACCGTTGGTGCACAGATCTACAGAACTCTTACACTGAACGAACACACATATGACACACGGAGTTTGAATGTTTTTATTTAGCTCTAATGGATTAAAGTGTATTAACAAATGGCTTCAAATATTAATATTACCTGCCGTGCAATAAAAGTAACCCCCAACGCTAAAACTATACAAAATATGCAGCCAGAGCAGCCATTTTATCTTTGGGTTTTTTAGGATTGCCACGGCGTCCCCTGCCTCGACCTCGTCCTCCTCGTCTCGCACCTCCTCGATACATGGCGTGCCTCATGGTGGCATGTTTGAGCTCCACCAGATCCTGGAAGACCGGATCACAGAAAACACAGCCGGTGTGTTGGGTCTCATTGTCAGGGAGTGGCGTGCGGGTCTTGTTGAAGTCCACAGCCACCAGGAAGGCTTCGCATGCATCACAGCTTTCCTGAGCAACCTGAGGATGGAGAATCACCTTAGAGGGGCGGGGCCAAAAACTGAGCAAAACCAGAACAGTTCACAACCACACATTGTGCAACAAAGCCACTGATCTCCACTTTGTTCTTGTTTGTCCAAACAAGCCAGAGACATTTGTCAAACACACCTGAAGTGTGTGACTTTTGTGTTAGCAAAATATGAATTATTGAGTCTTTAAGAGAGTAATCATTGGATTTATTTATAATAATTTAAAACTAATCGTGTGAATGTTTGTAAGCATTGACACGATTGAGAGCAGTTTTTCAGCATCTAACTTGTTCTACAGTTTTTGTTCTGTTTCAACAATTCATGTCTCAAACTCATTCAGGACATTCCTGCTCTGACTTTAGGTATCTGTGCAATTTTAACTTTTTGAAACATTTAGATTTTTCATCCATGTGTTTCTCTAGGAAAATAAATGGAGACCACTTCACATCCTTTAAACACGTTTACGGCTCATTTTAGCTTTTGTTCTGTTTCAGCCTTTTCCAGGTTCCTTCAGCTCCTTTTAGCTTTTATTCTGCTAAATTCAGCTACTTTTCAAGGTGTTTCTCTGCGAATTTGAGCCTCTTTTCTATTATATTTTTTATAATTTCCAGTTTTTGTGATTCTTTCTAATAATTTAAACTTAATGCTTTTTTCATCCTCTTTCGAATTTCAGCTTTTTTCTGCTCAATTTTAAGTTTCTTTCTTTTGCTAAGTTCAGATTTATTTGGAATTTATTAAGCCTCTCTGCCTGTTTCAGCTTATTCTGCTCGTCTGCTACATTTCTGCTTTATTCAGCTTTTTCTACACATTTCTGCCATTTTTTCTGCTGTCCGTTTATCTCCCTGCTTTCAGCAAATGTCAGCTGTTTCATTCATCTCACATTAACCGCTGAGAGATGAAACCTTTTCAGCTGGTTTCAGCTTCTTCTAGAGCTTTCAGCTAAAATCATTCAGCTACGAGAAGCACATTGCATTTTCAACCTTAGCAAAATATTAAAAGTAACTAACTCAGGTAATTTGACTGTTGTTAGGCTAAAATTTGATGTGGTAGTAGCTGAGCACCATCCCCACCATATAACTCTGAGTGATGCAATATTGTTAGCATAAAATGTTGCTATTACTGTATTTTTCGGCCTATAAGTCACAATTTTTTGCATAATTTGCATGCCCTGTGACTTATACACCGAAGGGACTTATTTATGGATTTTTTTCCATATTTATAAAACAATTTGTGGCTGAGATATGACTGTTTTCATTCATTCTGACTAAAAATTTTGAACACTACCATTTTCAGCTGCTAGATGGGAGCAGAGTGGTATCGCATGCTGTTGTGTCATGTAATAGGTGGCTATTAATGGCACAGTCTGCTTGCCATAGCCTGCATTTCAGGTCTCTCTTGTAAATGAGTCCTCGAGGCTCAATGGGATTTATCTGTCTAAATAAAGGTTGAATGAATGCCACCTTTGTCCAGCTCGATTGCAGAAACCGTCAAATCAGCTTCATTTCGAAGCACCGCCCCGGTGTAATGCAGCTGATTTGACCATTGAAGAGCATTTATTAAGTCAAAGTTAAACTAAGACACACATTTTCTATAATTCTGAGCAAACAAATAATTGTTTTTAAGTGTTAATATTGTTAAATTCTTGTTAAAGTCCTCCCGTGCACGCTCCTGTGGTTGCCATTTGGCAGCCAATCTATTTTTGGCACAACACCGGCCCACATTTCCAGGTTGTCAACGGTGACGCGTAATAGATGCAACTTATACGGCAAAGCGATGTATTTATGGATTTTTCCACTTTATTAAGACATATTTGGACTGATGCGACATATATGGCAGTGCGACGTGTCCAGCAGAAAATACGGTAACTGCTGAAATCAACCATGTTTGCTTGTTAGCAAAATATATCATGAACTACTTGAAAGCTTTTTGTGAAATTCTCAAAGTAATCTTTAGACGAGCATCTGCAACTCAATTCAAGATGGCTGACACAGCTAGTCAACCTCAGAAAACACAGAACTGTCAACAAGTTTAACATAAGGCTGTACGGGGTGGTCACTGATAATCATTGATCATTTGTAAGGACTCGGTCAGATTGTGTCAGTTTGAATATGGTGATGTAGAAAAAGGTTCTTACTTGGACTTTGTGTGCGTGTTCAAAGAAGTGCACCACCACATTGCATTTATTACACGCCATCTTCCACTTGGGTCCAGAGGTGGGATCCAGCACCAGAACTCCAGTGTCACACTCCACACACTGTCCAATGCCCAAAGAGTTGAGGGAATGCTGGCAGGACGGATGTGTGCACTCGTTACAGCCCATCCCTGGAAGCAGCACAAACCACCAGGAGAAACAATCAGTCCCACGTGCACCTCCCAACCTCCAGGTCTAACTGGACAGAACGGGATTTTATTGTTTTAGTTTGACATTTAATGGAAGTTTTGGTTCAACTGTCCCAAAGATTTTGTATTAAACTGTTATTTCATTCATTCATCTGTTTTCTCAGTAATGATCAGTGCGGAGTTGTGACCATCAAACTGATTCATGCTTTCACATTTATTTTTAAGAAACCATCAGAACCCATACAAATCCATAAATGGTAATCTTATTTAATTTACCTTACTATGACTAATACTAGGACTAAATTACATGATTATTATATCCCTGTTTTCAACTCAGATTCATTTATTCAACACTTTTTAAACCAGGCATATAAGCAGATGAATAAGTCCGAGGGTAAAAATAACTTAAAGACATGAGAACCTTTCTTCATATCCCTGAAAGGCGGGTTGCTGAAGCAGTAGGGACACAGCGAGTAGCTTTTGCCCCGGGCCCCGGAGGTCCACAGGACGATCTCAAAATCATCCAGGGGACAGCGGAGCTCCTTGTACAGCTTGATGGCTCCATTCTGGGGAAGGCTGTAGGTCTCATCGCAGTGGGAGCAGTGGAGCCTGCTGGGCTTGGCCTGCAAGCACAAGTTCACGTCAGGGAGGTAAAGATCGTCGTCTCTATTCTAATGTGCATCTGCCCAGCAGGGAACGCATGAACACAACACTAAGGTTTGCACACAATTTATCATCGATAAATATGATGAGAAAAGTATTGATTAAATCTGAATTGATTCAAATTCAACTGATTTGATCTCTACTGTGTGAACACACAATCAGCATTTTCTTTTTGTTTTCTACCCTGCTTCTTTTAACTTTAGCATTTCTATTGCAAACATTAGCTGCTGTTTTACTGAATGTAGTTTCTGTTCTGTCTGTTTTAATTTCAACAGTTCAGATTAGATTTAGCAGTGAGTCACAGCATGTTCACAGAAAAGCTCTTCGGGATAGGTTTGATATTCAAATAAATAATAAAGCTAAAAAACAGTTTTTCTGTTCCACCTTACTGATGTGATCTACCTCACACAAACCTCCCACTATCAAAGAAGGGCAAAATGATTTGTGGTCTTTTGAAACAGAAATAAGTATTGTTTCCAAGAACGTCTGCAAAAATGTACTTCTTTAAAAGTACCATTCTTAGAACAAAGCTTACGGAGCCCTGGAGGGGACATGGGGGATTGTTTTTCTTTTGCGTTCCCTCACAATTCTGTTCTGTATGTAGTTACGTCACAGACAACAGCAACAATGGAACAGACACCTTGAGGTTCATGGAGTTTGTGACTTGGTGCTATATAAATAAACTGAATTGAATTTTGAAATCAGCCTTAAATATAAGGATATCCAGAGTGTGCTGCAGTGGTCAAATTAATTTATGTTGGATATTTCACGTTCATGCTCCGTGGATTCAGCGGTGTCTTCCTCGTTCGAGCCGACGCAGACAGTCTGATTTCAGTCTGTTCCTCCTCCGAGGAGCGATGGTTCTCTTAGGGACTGTCAACAAATTACTGTATTTTCAGAGTATTTGTTAAAGCAGCACCATGTATCATAACTAAAGTTTTCTCAGTATATTTCTGCATGGTAATAAAACATGAATTTTCTCACCATTTAAAATCAAAAAGAACAAGGTGACACTTACGTTTCAAAAGTACTGTAACTTTCTTTTAAAGCATCAAAGTTCATGCTCAATCATCCAGGTACAAAATACAGTAATGGTCAGTCAGGTCATCTGGACAGTTTCTTTTTTGTGGAAAAACGTTTCGCCCTCTATCCGGAGGGCTTCATCAGACACCAACAAAACCAGCAAACTGGTTGGTCCAGTAAAGGAGTGTACTGCTTAGTGGGGAACACAGTTTACTTGAGACTCCTCAGACTGATGAAGCCCTATGGAAGCGTGTGCTTAGTGTGTTTTTAGTTCATGTTTTTCTTAGTTCATAACTTACGTCTTATTACAGTTTTTCTTTTACACATTTTTTAATACTTTTGTTGGATGTAACTGGGACCCTGTGTACACACTTTCGTTCCACCACATGCACCACATGTGGTGCGTATGACAAAGAATCTTGAATCTTTGAATCCTTGAATGAACTTTGATGCTTTAAAAGAAAGTTACAGTACTTTTAAAACACAAGTGCCACCTTGTTCTTTCGGATTTTAAATGGTGAGAATTCATGATTTATTACCACGCAGAAATATACTGATACAAAAACTTATGATACATGGTGCTGTTTGACAAAAACTCTGGAAATATATCTAAAATAGTATAACAGTGTTCAGACCGAGCTCATTAGGCCAGTAATTTGTTGACGGTCCCAAAGAGAACCATGGCTCCTCGGAGTGATGGACAGAGCAGCTGAACTCAGACTGTCTGCGTCGGCTCGAACGAGGAAGACACCGCTGAATCCACGGAGCATGAACATGAAATGTCCAACATAAATTAATTTGACCACTGCAGCACACACTGGATATCCTTATATTTAAGGCTGATTTCAAAATTCAATTCAGTTTATTTATATAGCACCAAGTCACAAACTCCATGAACCTCAAGGTGTCTGTTCCATTGTTGCTGTTGTCTGAGAACAAAAAGGTTAAATCGTCATCTGGACCAGTTTCTTTGAGGGAAGAACATTTGTTGTCTGTGAGCTAACACTACATATAGTACAGTACAGCGTGGGAACGTAAAAGTAAAAAAATACAAATCCCCTGTGTCCCCTCTGGGCTCAGTAAAAGCTGAGACATGCCTTGCTAATTTAATAAACTAATACCTAAAACGTAAAAAGAACTACATCTAGAAACAACAGGTTATTCTTACACGACTGTTAGAAAAATATTTCATGGTTATTTTTTTCTCGGCTCTCTTCACAGCTCACGTTTTGTTTCTTTTTTGAGCTCCTGTTTTGTTAACTTCAGCTTTTTTTGTGCTCCTTTGTTTCTTTCAGCTTCTAATTAATGGGTTTTGGACACATTGAGCTAAAATTTGATGTGGTAGTAGCCGAGAGTGATCCACCACACATACTGAAGGTCAGCTGAAAAGAGCACTGGCTATCTGTGAGACTGTGGACAGTTCTGGTCCGAGCTCTGAAGGTCAAACTTCACAGCTGGACACCTCACGGGTCAACAATGATCCAAACTGATTTTAGGGTCATGGGGTCACAGGTCAGGATTAAAACATCAACCTTTCTTTAAATAGCTCTTATTTGATAATAGAAATGTAAACAATTCAGTTTTTATGCTCATTTTCGTCTCTTGCAGTTATTTTTCTGCCCTTTTCTCTTACAGCTTGTTGTGCTACTTTCACCTTATTCCTTCTAACTTGAGCTTTTTTTTTTAGCTTCTTTCAAATCATTTCTGTTAATTTTAACATATTGTTCTCATATCTACTTTGTCTGCTACTTTATTTTCTGTTTTCTGTTATTTTTCAGCTGTTTTTTCTTTGTGCTCCTTTCAGCTTCTTCTTTCTACTTTTCAGCCACTGATGAATTTCCAGTAAGTTTCAGCTTCTTCAGCTGCTTTCAGCAAAATCCTTCAGCAATAAGCATTCACACTGCATTTTCACAGGAAATGCTATTTCAATTGAAACATGTTTGTGCAAACAGAAAATGATAAATATCACATAAGGAACTAGTCGTAACAAGCCTTCGTGATGTCAGAAAAGTTTCTGGAAATCGTTTCAGAACAAAATGGACCCAGTGATCAGCATGACGTCATCTCCACACATGACATTCTTGCTTTGTGCATTATCCTCTACATCTCCACTCATCCCTCTATGCATGTACTCAGGTACTCTGACATTGACCAAAACTTTTTCAGCCGAATGATTCATTCATTAATGGACAAGTGGTTCTGACCGCAAACGGAAATGGAAATAATGGAACTGGGTCTGCTGGACTTTGAAGGTTAAAACTCAGCTCAGTCTGACATTATCTGCACACAGGAGAACATGGCGAACTTACGTTTGTCTGCTTTGAAAACAAACTTAAAACATAACTACCACACGTTCAGAGCACCATTACACAGATATTACGTCTCCTGTGTTCTTTGGGGATTCATATTCAGAATTCAAGACCAAGCACTCCTTGAAGCACACTGCAGGCTGCCTTTCATGGCAGACTTGTGTTAACTAGGATGGCTCTCTGCTACTAACATGCTAAATGTGAGCTCATCCTCTGCAACACTGACTGAGCTCTCAGCTGCTGTTGCAGTCAACTTTAGCTGCATCTGTAAAAATGCCTAAGTTGAAGCCAAAACTGATGAGCCAACAAACTATCACAGCTTTTCATAAATGAAATACCTTTTCAAGGACGTGACAAACTCTGACTGAAGAACAATTTCTGCATCAGCAATTCTGTTCAAAGGATGCTCTCCAGTTTACACCAAATGTCAGCTCCAATCAACACGCTGTGTTGTTGAACCAGGAGTGCAGTCTCTTTTAGGAATATTACAAATCATAACTTTGATGCTGACTGCCCACCTGGATGTACTTCATGAAGCGGTGACATTTGCCACAGCGGGAAAGGGGCTTTCCAGTGGCAGCAATGGGAGAAAAGGAGACCTCCATGAGCTCATCCATGCCTGTAACACAACATAAAGACAGTCAGGACTGGAGCGGCACAGGACCACTGCACGATACAGAACATGCAGGATATTACACTGTCTAGAAATAAATCACCTCTTGTCTTTTATGTTCCTAACGTACAACATGCAAATCTACAACGTACATAATACTTAAAGGTTTATTTACTATCATCAAGACGTTATTTTACCATGCAGTTACAGAAAACATGAAGATTTAGCATTTTCTGTAAAAAATGGAGTGAATGTTGAATGAGAGCTTGTGGAAGAAGTTGAAACTGAGCTGTTAAAAGTTTAAAACAATCAGAACAAAAGCTAAATTAGAGGTAACCAAAAACCAGCAAAACGGTGGCTTAAAGCTAAATTTGCTGAACAGTAGCTAAAATTTATAACCAGTGGACCAGATGCTAAAAGCTAAAACCAGTAAAATACTCCTCCTTGTACCACCACCTTATCGTGGTGGTGGAGGAGGTGTTCGCCTGAATGATCCTAGCAGCTACGCTGTTGGCTGGTAGGGGCTCCCAACAAAGATTGGTCCTAGGTACAGCTGTCATTTCTAACCCAAACCCAGTCCGGCCTGGTCCGGATTAGGGCTGGGCCATAATAATGTGCGGGCCGAGCTGGTGTTGGACTTTTGATTGCGTCAGTGGACGTGCGCGGCTGACGATCCAATTATCATATAGGGCAACATGGCTTGCCATACTATCACCAGCCGCAGGCGACCATTAAACCGTGCGCTGACCGGCCTTGAAAGAGATTAAAAAAAGTGCCTGTGTGTTGGAGTTTTCCCCAGTAGATGAGAGGGTAGCTTCCCTGCACCTTTGGGTGGGGGGACAGGTTCAGACTGTTTGTGCAAACGGCAGTTCAGAGTCTCCAGACTTCTTGGAGTTCTTGTGGGGGTGATGGAAGGTGTGCCAACTGGGGACTCCTTTATTCTGCTGGGGGACTTCAATGCCCATGTGAGTAACAACAGTGTGACCTGGAGGGGCGTGACTGGGAGGAACGGCCTCTCTGATCTGCACCCGAACGGTGTTCTGTTGTTGGGCTTCTGTGCTAGTCATAGTTTGTCCATCACGAACACCATGCTCGAACATAAGGGTGTCCATAAGTGCACTTGGCACCAGGACGCCCTAGGTCGTAGATCGATGATTGACTTCATAGTTGTGTCATCTGATTTGCGGCCGTTTGTTTTGGACACTCGGGTGAAGAGAGGAGCTGAGCTGTCAACTGATCACCACCTGGAAGTGAGTTGGATCAGATGGCGAGGGAAGATGCAGGACAGACCCGGTAAACCCAAATGTGTAGTGAGGGTTTTCTGGGAACACCTGGCAGAAGAACCCGTCAGAGAGATCTTCAACTCACACTTCGGGAGAGATTTAACATCCCAGCTGAGGCTGGGGACAATGAGTCTGTGGACTATGCTCTGCAATGAGCATTTGATTGTGGGCTCAGTGAACTTACTCGTGATGGAATCCACAAAGTAGTGAAACTTCCTCTTGAAGATATCTAGTGCATGCTGCAGAACCTGCTGGTAGTTTGCCTTCCCCAGAGCAATGAGGTTCAGCTGCTTCTCCACAGCGCTGCGTATAGTAGGCAGGACGAGCTCTGCGTCTGCACATAGTCACACACCGATATTTAATGACAATTAAAAAAATTTAAATTAAAATGTCCATTTACACTAATATTGTGGATAATGTACAATACTTTAATAAACTGTACCACTATGTAGCATTTGTCCTAAAATAATTATTTGTTGGTTTTTTTTCTACAGTTTCTACAGATAAATAAATAAATAAATAAATAAATAAATAAATAAATAAATAAATA